AGCAGTGATGGCGAACCTATGGCACGCGTGCCAGAGCTGGCACGCAGAGCCATCTCAGTGGGCACGCCAGGAAGAAGAGGAAGATGAGCGCACACGGACCACGCACACTGACTGGCCATCCAGATCTCGTCCACACTGGACCCCCATCAAACTACATCTCCCACATGTCTCTGGGGCCAGGGTGGGTGTGGGCGAGAGGAAACGGCTCCTATGCGGATCTGGCACCAGGGGTGATGTAGCCGGGGATGGGTGTGGAAGAGAGGAAGAGGCTCCCACACTGCTCCGGGGCCAGGGGCAACGTGTTCAGCGTGGATGGGAATGAGCTGCTGGGTTGGAAGCCACACCGACATTGCCAGAGGTGAGATTAACTGCTTGCCAACCATGCTATAGCCAAAAGATGGCTACAGGGTGGTTGTCTAGTTCTGGGAGGGCGTCCCAGAACGCGAACCCAGTGACACACACCCTGTGCTGCCGGTGATCGCTGTGTCCTACGGATACAGCTGATCACGTGATAAGGTAAAAGGCCAATCACAGTGTTGGCACTTTGAAATAAAAAAGTTGGTTTTGTGTTGCAGTTTTGGGCACTCGGGCTCAAAAAGGTTCGCCATCACTGCTCTAAAGCATATGTGTCAAACACAAGGTCCACGGGCCGAATCTTGCCTGCCAGGCCATTTCACATGATCCTTACACCACTCATTCAGCTGAGGCACTCTCCTCATCTCTGCCCCACCTTGCATCAGCAGTCAGCAGCAGAGAGGAGGACAAACTCTTGCAACTGATCCTGCACTTTTCGTGCAGCCGTGGAGGGGCTGATTGCTGCCTCCTCCACTGTTTCAGCAGTTGGCAGCCAAGAGGAGGACAGAACTCCTCCTACAGATCCTGGGACTCTCTGGGCAACCACAGCACCCCATGTCCACCTATTCCTTGGAGCTTACAATCTAAGAGGGAGGGGCTAGTGGTACAAAAGGTAGTAACTGTGGGGGATGGACTGGTAGAAGGAATAGAATATTCCATTATTAGCTGAGGGCAGGATAGGCTTCCCTGAAGAGACAGGTTTTCAGAGATTGCCTAAAAGTGAGCAGAGTAGGCGATAGTCTGATAAATTGGGGTAGAGAGAGTTCCAGAGGATGGGGGAAGCTCTGGAGAAGTCCTGGAGACAAGCATGAGAAGAGGAGACAAAGGAGCTAGAAAGCAGGAGGTCGTACGAGGAGCGGAGAGTACGGTTTGGGTGGTATTTGGAGACAAGATTGGTGATGTAATTTGGGGCAGTTATAAATGGCTTTTTTATGTTATTGTTAATGTTTTGAATTTTATCTGTTGGGCAATGAAAGCCAGTGGAGGGATTGGCAGAGAGGGGTGGCAGATATAGAACGGTTAGTAAGGTGGATGAGTCTGGCAGCAGCATTCATGATAGACTGAAGAGGGGATTAAAACATCTTTTAATGCATGATTATTTAATGCAATAATTAAAACAAAATATAAGGAAAACATGATAGAATTGAAAAATATACCATGTTTTTCATTTCCAAGGTGAAAACACGACTTTATACTTTAAAGGAAACCTGTCTGCCAAAAATTCAACAAAACTTAGCTCATCTTGGAACACAAGGTGTTTCTCCAATTCCTGCATATACTAGTAGCAAACAATAAAATCCTCCTAAATCTCTAAAGCAACATCTGCGATATTTAGCTCCACCTTCCAACCCTCCATACCCAACATGCCACAACGCAATGTGGACTGCCTATGGAGAAGCATCTCACTGTGATGTTGCATGAAGCTTTGCCAGTCCTCAAATTAACAAAAAGTTGGCATCTCCAGAAAAGTGTGGAGGAGGGGAGATCTTGGATGAACCTGGAGTAATTTTCATGCTTGCTATTAAGACATACAGGCACTTTAACAAGCTTTGTATTTTAATTTAAGGTTAGCTTTATGATTTCAATGTCATGACAGATGTACCTTAAGGGGAACAAGAACCATACACATAAGTCCCTGAAGAATCTGCAATTTAATATGCTAGGCACATCGATGTCAAGCTATATTTTTGTACCATACTTGTATCTAACAGACTACATCTCAACTCTAAATCCCGGCTACATCCCAACTCTAAATCCCAACAGTATCAATCCCCTGTCCTGCCCTGACCTGGCCACTGCTGTCTACAGCAATTCGCTTTCATCCGCTTTAGACTCGCTTGCTCCTCTAACAACATGAAGCATCAGGCCCCGATCGCTGCAACCTTGGCAGACTGGCCACACCAGAAATCTCAAACGACACAGTCGCTCGCTGGAGCAATTATGGTGTAAAACCAAATCCCACCAAGCCTTCACCCGATATAAATCTGCCTTCTTAACATACACTTCCTCCCTTCATGCTGCTAAACAAGCCTACTTTGTCACTCTCATAAATGCCTTCTCTTCCAGCCTTTGTCGGCCCTTCTCTACTTTTAACTCTCTACTTTCTCCGCCTCCACCACCACCTAGCACCTCACTCACTGCCCACGTGATTGCAAGCACTTCAAAAACAAGATTGACGCAATTTGTAGGGACATCGCCACTACACAAACATCCACCCCACTTAGCATTCCTCATACTATATCTCCCTCAACACTCTCCTCTTTTGACCTCGCTACTACCGAAGAGGTCACTAAGGTTTTCTCAGAAGCCCGCCTCACCCCCTGCCCCCTGGACCCTGTCCCCTCACAACTCCTTCGGTCACCCTCCTCTTCCATCCTATGCTCCCTCACTCACATCTTCAATCTTTCCCTCTCTACAGGTGCCTTCCCCTCCCCTCTAAAGCACGCACACATCACTCCGCAGATTGTAAGCTCGAAAGAGCAAGTCCCTCGATCCCCTCATGTTTTGCATTGTATTGGTATTGTTCTGTCGCATGTTCTGTCCCCCTTTGTAATGTACAGCGCTGAGCGAACCACTGGCGCTTTATAAATACTGTATTATAATAATAATACTTAAAAAACCCTCCCTGGACCCCACCAACCTGAACAACCTAAGACCCATCTCCCTGCTGCCATTTACCTCTAAACTCTTAGAACGCTTAGTCTACAATCACCTGAGCTGCCACCTCACCAACAACAACCTTCTCGACCCTTTACAGTCTGGCTTTCGCCCTCTACACTCCACTGAAACTGCCCTACTAAAACTCTCTAATGATCTACTAACTGCTAAAACCAGCGGCCACTATTCAATATTCCTACTACTTGACCTCTCCGCGGCTTTTGATATGGTTGAACATCCCCTCCTCCTCAAAATACTACACTCTCTTGGCCTCAGAGACTCCGCTCTCTCCTGGTTCTCCTCCTGTCTATCGCAGCACTCCTCCAGTGTTACATGCCACCTCCTCTCCTCACTCCCTCTCTCTGTAGGGGTCCCTCAAGGTTCTGTCCTTGGATCCCTTCTCTTCTCCATCTACACCTCCTCCCTTGGTCACTTGATAAACTCCCACGGCTTCAATTACCATCTCTATGCTGATGACACGCAAATCTATCTGTCTACCCCTCACCTCACCCCTTCAGTCTCCACTCGCATCACTAGCCTACTAAGCGACATATCGGCTTGGATGTCACTCCACTTCCTCAAACTCAATCTTTCCAAAACTGAGCTCTTAGTATTTCCCCCAGCCCGTGCCACCTCCACTGACTTCACCATAAATATCGATAACACAATCATCAGTCCATCCCCTCATGCCAAGGTACTAGGTGTAATCCTAGACTCCCATCTGTCCTTCCAGCCCCAGATCCAATCGCTGACAAAATCATGTAGACTTCACCTCTGCAACATCTCCAAGATACGACCGTTCCTAACCTCGGAAACCACTAAGCACCTCATCGCAGGCTATCCCCACTCCAGTCCATCATGAATGCTGCTGCCAGACTCATCCACCTTACTAACCGTTCTGTATCTGCCACCCCTCTCTGCCAATCTCTCCACTGACTCCCAGTTGCCCAACGGATAAAATTCAAAACACTATCAATGACATATAAAGCCGTCAACAACACTGCCCCAAATTACATAACCGATCTTGTCTCTAAATATCACCAAACCGTACTCTTTGCTCCTCGCAAGACCTCCTACTGTCTAGCTCCCTTATCTCCTCCTCCCATGCTCGTCTCCAGGACTTCTCCAGGGCATTCCCATGCTCTGGAACTCCCTACCCCAATATATCAGACTATCGCCTACTCTACTTACTTTTAGGCGATCACTGAAAACCTATCTCTTCAGGGAAGCCTATCCCGCCCTCTGCTAATACTGGAATCCTCTACTCTTCCAACCACTCCATCCCCCACAGTTTTACCTATCGTACTATTACCCCTCCCTCCTAGATTGTAAGCTCCAAGGAGCAGGGCCCTCAAATCCCTCTTGTATTGAATTGTATTGTTACTGTACTGTCCCCCACTATAATGTAAAGCACTGAGCAAACCATTGGCACTATATAAATCCTGTATAATAATAATAATAACAGACCAATATTAACAGTCAGTTGGAAACTGTACTATAAGAAGACAGATCCTGCCTGGTGAGCAATGCTTTGATGTCTGTAAGAAAAGGGGAGGGAAGGTCTACCACCCAGTGTAGAACTAAACAACGCAGCAGCAATTTGAACTGCAGAGGTGTTTCTTTTATAGGTGTCTAAACCACTCTGCAACAACTTCTTACTACTAGTTGGAGTTACTTTCCCTCCTTCAATCAGTATTAGAGATGCCCTGAATTTGATTGGTGGCTGTGGAGAAAAACCTAGCTCCTGTAAGAGCAAATTAAAGTCTACAGCCCAATTTGGTTTCCAAGACAGAATAAGGTGAAAGACCCAGAAGTCAAATTGGGGACTCCACTTTGGTGTGTTCCTTGGACCCATTTAATTAGAGTCTAATAAACTACATATCAATGCTTATCTTTTATGACAACATATATTATGAAAATGTTCAATCAGAAGCATGAGCAACAAATATAGCAAGTGATGTAACATATTTGTAAACAAAGACACTTACCCTCAGCATTGGTCCATTTTGAAAAACATGGGGCTCATCACAAACCACACAGTACTCGTTGAGCACAGGTATTCTTTGCTCAGCAAACTCTATTGTCTTAAAGAAAAATATAAAAATGCTGATTATCAAAGAAGGTTTACTAACAAAGCAACACACTGTATAATGAAACCCTACTAGCGTGACCACTGGTAACTGTGACTACTAATAATCCAACCACGCTGTCTCCCATAACATCCAACCACACTGTTTTCAATAACATCCAACCACATTGTTCCATAACATCCAACCACATCACACCCAATAACTTCCAACCACAGTATGTCCTCCATAATATCCAACCTTACTGTCCTCTATAAAAATCCAAACACACTGTCACCCATAATACCCAACCATACTGTTTCTCACAACATCCAGCCACACCACCCCTCAAAACATCCAAACAAACCATCCCTTATAATGTCTCACTGCACTGTCCCCCATAACTTTTAATTACACTATGCTCCATAACAGCCAACCACATTGTCCACACAGCATGCAAGCAACAATATTGTTCCCCATAATATTGTGCCACACTGTCTCCCATACCATCCAACCCCAACATCCTTCATAATGTCAAATCACACTGTCCTCCATAACATCCAACCCCACCATCCTTCATAATGTCAAATCAAACTGTCCTTTCTATTTCTTCAGATTTCACATGGTAACAAGCAAAATGCAAACATACTGGAATGAGCACAATGGAAATTTCAAGATCTTCAACTTATATAAAGATAGATAATAGCTATTATTTGCAAAGTTGAATATTTTGCTATCCTGTCTTCAGTTATCATCTTAGCCAGAAAAGTGTGCAAATGTGGAGCTACTATTTAAGCATGCAATACTATATCCATCACAGTGACAATACCATACCACTGTGCCAGCAACAAGGTAAAACTCTAGGAATCATGTTTGCACAGTCAGAAGGCAAATTACATCTTGGTAGATGTGAAGTGGAGTGAAGTGATTTGGGCAAAATTGATTTAGCTGAAGCAAAAACTCTCATTTTCACTTACTGAGCCGCTTTTTCTTCCTTTACCCTCTTTTTTCCATCATAGTTGAAAGGAACTTCTGTAACTGTGAGGAGCCATTTAACTCCCATTCTACCCCTTAAATCCCAGAACTAGGATAAAGTTACCCCCCCCCCCCTCCAGTCACTCTCTTCCTGATCACTGCATTAAAAAGAAAGTTCTAAATCCTCATTTTCACTTACCTTAAGCCATGGTCATCCAGCGCTGAGTCCTTCTCTTACTTAGATGGATCCTTCCTCCAGGTGTCCATGTCACTGCCCACATGATGCAAACAATTCCAATTGACTGACCATTGAAAGGGTTTGGATCCAGAAGACTACTGAGACTGAACCAAGGGGAGTGAAGGGAACCAGCCGAACAGGGCAATGTGTGGTATTAGACTGGAGGTCTCCATAGGTGGAAACGGCATCAACAATGGACCTTGCTAGGGGATTCAGATAAGTATAACTGGCTTAAGGAAAGCTTAATACCTGGCAGGATGGGTTGAAAAGAGGTGCTAGGGAGGTATGGAAAAAATTATTGCCTGGAGTTGGTCTTTAGGAACCACCAAAATCCATTTTAATTTTGCCTTTCAATTAATTAAATGGGCAGTACAATGGCTAAATGGTTAGTACTTCTGCCTGGCAGAGCTAGGGTTGTTGTTTTGAATCCCAACCAAGGTACCACCTTCCTGGAGTTTGCATGTTCTCTCTTTGCCTGTGTTAAGAACCTAAGCAGACAACTAGGGCCAAGGAAAGCCCAAACAGAGGTTGCAAGGTGGACCACTCGGCTTGTACAAAGTAACAGGCATTATTACAGTCAAAAAATACACAAAAAAAAAAGAACAAAAGGTTCAAATCCCAACCACAGCACCACCTGCCTGGAGTTTGCATGCTCTCTCTGTGCCTGCGTGGGTTTCCTCAAGGCACTCTGGTTTCTTCCCACACCCCAAAGACATGCTGGTAGTCTAATTGGTTCCTAGTATGTGTGTATATGAATGTGAGTTAGGAACCTTAGATTGTTCACCCCCCTTGAGGGTTAGGGATTCATGTGAATGTACTATATACAGTATATGTAAAGCTCTGCATAAATTGTCAGAGCTACATCAGTACCTGAAATAAAATAATTTGAATGTATTTCATCAAAATAGCAAAATTTCAAATAAAACTTCATTTTTTTTCCCTAAAATATCAGGGAAATGAAAACTTCCTTTCACTATTTCCTAGTGACTTGATAATTTGTGATTGTCCTGTCCAGATTGTGAGGTCTGACATGTATGTACACAGTCTCACAATGCTTGGGGAATCTTACTAAGATAACAGCCTCAGTTCTCATCTGGTAGCTGTAAGAACAAGAGAGGTTAATGATAAAGCCGCTGAGGGATTTATCAGGGACATCATGTGGAAAATAAATGCAGAGTAGAGTCGGTGTGGAGTTTTGTCTCAGATGTTGAGAAATGCATTATATTAACTTCTTTTGTGAACTCTTCTCGGTCAGAAAAGGTATTGTGACATTTTCAAGTCTACCATTCCATTCAAATATTACCAGTGGCATTTGTAATAAAAAAGATATTAAACATGACATTACCTGTACGAGAAATCCATGCGCTCGTGCTGGCACACATTTTGCATTATTGGTAGGCTAAAAAAGAGATCAATATACATACAATGATTTAATAACATCTTCCATTGTAAGGTATACAGATACATAGCTTTATCACATTTGAGTTAGACATTAAAGGAAATCTGTGACAAGAGTTACATAGTAGAGGCTTACCATGGAAGCCTACATTTGATTATTTTCTTCCTTTACAGGATATATTAAAATTGATCAAAAGTGTTTTAGTGACAAAGTAGGGTAGCTGTTATAAAACCCTTCAGGTTTTAATTGCCACCTGTGTCCTTGATGGGGAGATAGTCATTATCTTTATTTCTCCTGGTGGCCATTGCTTGTGCTACAGGGGGTGGAATGAAATCCAAAATTTTACATTTGTCACTGGAACAGGAGCCTACGGGGAAATCTTCCAATGAGGACACCTATATCAGTAGCAACTGTCCAAAATTGGATTTCCCCTCACTTTGGGGAACATTCCTCAAAGTTGTTATAGGGCATATGTGGAGGACAGATATAAAATAAAATTTTTAGCTCGGGAAGTACCATCCCTATAGCGTAACCGAACAATGTCAATATATAAAAAACATTTTATTGATGCATTATACATATATCACAAAAAAATCATAAAAGATTGTAATCTTAAAAATATATGAACATATGTCCCTTTTGTATAACCATGTATCTGTTCCTGAGATCCTATCTTATGTGACGATGCGTTTCGCAGGAAACCCACTTCCTCAGGGCCTTGGATCTCGCTATACAAAGACTGGAACAGAATATGTACAATTATTAAAATCATATAATAGTTATAATGCTACAAACAATAGCAACCATCAATTTCATAACATAGAATCTCTTGATACAATTATCTCCTATTGATAAATACCCACCTTGGATTGCGGAATGAGGTCAGGGAAGCGCAGGAGGAGGGGAAAAAAAAATATATATACATTTTTATTTATTTGCAACAATATGCCAGACGACCACGCCTGCCAGGCCCATGGGGAGGGATCTGATTGTAGAGCACTGCACTATTGGCAACAATTTAAAATTTAAATTAGTTATGTAGAAGTCTGTTGAAATTGTCACCAATAGTGCGGAGCTCTACAATCAGATCCCTCCCTACGGGCCCGTAAGGTGTGGTCATCCGGCATATTGCCACACATGTGAACGCAAGGTAACAAACATTTGGATTATATAAAAATGTATACATATATTTTTTTCCCCTCCTCCTGCGCTTCCCTGACCTCACTCCGCAATCCAGGGTGGGTATTTATCAATTGGAGATAATTGTATCAAGAGATTCTATGTGATGAAATTGATGGTTACTATTGTTTGCAGCGTTATAAGTATTATATGATTTTAATAATTGTATATATTCTGTTCCAGTCTTTGTATAGCGAGATCCAAGGCCCTGAGGAAGTGGGTTTCCCGCAAAGTGTGTTGGTCACATAAGAATAGGATCTCAGGAACAGATACCTAGTTATACAAAAGGGATATAATGTTCACATATTTTTAAGATTACAATCTTTTAAGAAGATTTTTCATGATAACATGTATAATGCATCAATAAAATATGTTTTTTATATATTGACATTGTTTGTCGGTGTTATAACTCTGGAGGTACATTCAGAGTCCCAATTTATATTGCCCTAGACATTTCTCCAAGTTGTAGCTGTGCCCCCAGGGCAATAAGTAAAGGGAAATCTCCCTATTTGGACAATCAGACTTTAATAAGTTCAGATTTTAGATAAACACAAACACACACCCAAATAGTTTAAAGCAGTGGTCTCCAAACTGTGGCCCAGATGCAGCCCTTTGCTTGCCTTTATTTACCCCTGGGGGCACTATTTCTTACAATGATACAAGGAACTATTCCTTCTACTGACACTAACAATGAGGCACCATTCCTTCCACTGATGCCAATAGTTGGGCATTATTTCTCTCCCTCTCCCACTATTCAACAGACACTATTCCTACCACTGACACTAACAATGGGGCATACTTTTGTGCCACTGACACCAATAAGGGGGCACTCTCCCTTCCACTGATATCAATGACGGGCTCTATTCCTCCTATTTAACACAAATTATGGGGCACTAGTCTTCCTACTGACACTAATTATGAGGAACTATTCTTCCTATTGACACAAAAATTATGGGGCACTATTCTTCCTATTGACACAAATTATGGGGCACTATTCTTCCTATTGACACAAATTATGGGGCACTATTCTTCCTATTGACACAAATCATAGGGCACTATTCTTCCTATTGACACAAATTATGGGGCACTATTCTTCCTATTGACACAAATTCCTTCTTCCTATTGACACAAATTATGGGGCACTATTCTTCCTATGGGGCACACTATTCTTCCTATTGACACAAATTATGGGGCACTATTCTTCCTATTGACACAAATCATAGGGCACTATTCTTTCTATTGACCAAATCATAGGGCACTATTCTTCCCACTGACATCAACAGTGGGGCACTTTTCCTCCCACTGATAGAAATGATTAGGCAGTTTCTCTCCTCCTACTGACCACAGGACCTATGTAATTTTTTTACTCCCACTGACAACAAAGCCTGAGGCATTGTAACTCCCAAATAATGCTGGATCATTTTCTATTGCCACTGGCCACAATCCGGCCCCTCTTAAGTCTGAAAGATAATAAACTGGGCCTTTTGTGTAGAAAGCTTGGAGACCCCGGTTTAGAGAATAAATTAAAAATCAACAAAAATGAATATTACAGGGTTTCAGCACACGGTCACATGGGATTTTTGTGAGCACATATTAGGCTGAATATACACTTGCATCTCCCATTTAACACTTCTATCTTAAACACTTATTTATTGTATTTAATTTATACTGCGGACTGGCAGGTTCGCTGTGCTGGATCACATACATATATGTATCTGGATATAGGGCACGCATGTTCTGCCCGATCTGTGCTGTAATTCAGTACAGCACAAGTCGGTCAGCCAATGATTTATGGCCAGGACTTGCTGATTGTCTTTGTGAATCACAGTACAGAGCCCTGTGTTTACTAACACAGGGCTCTGTACACTGAGCAGTGATGTGGCTGTTTTTCTCCCTGCAAAGCAGCACATATTACACATTGTTAGGCACACAGTTAATCCTTTGATTGCTTTTAGATGTTAACCCCTTCCCTGCCAATGTCATTAGTACAGTGACAGTGTACAGTCTTAGCACTGACCACTGTATTAGTGTCACTATTGATGTCAGTTTCAGTTAGTGTTTCTCCCTACCAGCATCAGCTAATGCCAGATTACCCGCCACACTATCACAGTTCCACTATAAACTGCTGATCACCGCCATTACCAGTAGTGTCATTCCAGTATATACACCATAGTTTGTAGACACTATAACACAAGCCAATTAATATACACTTATGGGATTCTTTTTTTACCAAAGACATGTAACAGAATACATTTTGGTCTAAAGTTATGAAAAAATTTGATTTTTTTTCCCCCCCAACATTTCCAGTCTTTTTTCATTTGTATAATAAAAAATAAAGTGGTGATCAAATACCATCAACAGAAAGCTCTATTTATGTGAAAAAATTATATACATTTCATTTGGGCACAGTGTAGCATGGCTGTGCAATTGCCAGTAGTGCAGTGCCGAATAGCAATAAATGCAAATTATGACATGGGTAAAACTGTCCAGAGCTTAAGTGGCTAAATGCAAGCTACTAACTTAATCCTCCACTGTATGTCATGATCAGATGCAGATAAAGACACTACCAGCCACTCAATGTCCCAAATAGTAGGTGTTGATTGTGCAACCTTCAAGAGAATTGCTCTGGATGCCTGCTGTGAGCAGGGTTCCACCCTGCCAGGATCCATCAACATAGAGGGTCTCTTCGACACTTTATACATAAAATGGTAACATTTTTATTCTTATCAATTCAACAGATACTATACAGTGAGGAACAGAAGTATTTGAACACCCTGCAATTTTGCAAGTTCCCCCACTTAGAAATCATGGAGGGGTCTGAAATTCACATTGTAGGTGCATCCCCACTCTGAGAGATAGAATTAAAAAACAAAATTCAGGAAATCACATTGTATGATTTTTAAAGAATTTATTTGTCTTGCACTGCTGAACATAAGTATTTGAACACCTGAGAAAATCAGTGTTAATATTTGGTACAGAAGCCTTTGTTTGCAATTACAGAGACTAAATTTCCTGTAGTTCTTGACCAGGTTTGCACACACTGCAACAGGGATTTTGGCCCACTCCTCCACACAGATCTCCTCTAGATCTGTCAGGTTTCGGGGCTGTCGCTGAGCAACATGGAGTTTCAGTTCCCTCCAAAGATGTTCTATTGGATTTAGGTCTGGAGACTGACTAGGTCACTCCAGAACCTTGATATGCTTCTTACGGAGCCACTCCTTGGTTATCCTGGCTGTGTGTTTCGGGTCATTGTCATGTTGGAAGACCCAGCCACGACCCATCTTCAATGCTCTGACTGAGGGAAGGAGGTTGTTGCTCAAAATCTCACAATAAATGGCCCCATTCATCCTCTCCTTAATACAGTGCAGTCGTCCTGTCCCCTTCGCAGAAAAGCACCCCCAAAGCATGATGTTCACCCCCATGCTTCACAGTAGGGATTGTGTTCTTGGGATGCAACTCATTCTTCTTTTACCTCCAAACACGACGAGTGAAGTTTAGACCGAAAAGTTCTACTTTGGTCTCATCTAACCACATGACTTTCTCCCATGCCTCCTCTGGATCATCCAGGTGGTCATTGGCAAACTTCAGCCGGGCCTGCACATGTGATGACTTGAGCAGGGGAACCTTCCGTGCAATGCATGATTTGAAACCATGACGGAGTAGTGTTCTACCGACAGTGACCTTTGAAACTGTGGTCCCAGCTCTCTTCATGTCATTGACCAGCTCCTCCCTTGTAGTTCTGGGCTGATTCCTCACCTTTCTTATCATCAGTGATACCCCACGAGGTGAGATCTTGCATGGAGCCCCAGTCCGAGGGAGAC